CACCATCGAATACCGATACCGCCGGTATTCGGTATACTAGATACCACCAATATCTGGTACGGTATCCGGTAATACCGGTTTACCGATTACCACCCCTACTTCTGAGCATCGAGTTATACTCAGTAGAAATGTGATATTTGATGAGAAGTCTATGTTTAACCCCATGTTGAAGGTTACTGTCGTTGAAGATAGCAAGAATGTTGATAAGCAGGTGGAGCTGCAAACTCTCAATGAGAGTGAGTTTGAGCACCAAGGTGGAGAAGATCAACATGAGGATGTTTCTGTAGAGCCAGAAACTTCAGAGTCCAGTGCAGGAGCTCAACAATCTATAGCTTCCGGTAGACCGAAGAGAACGACTGCAGGAGTACCTCCACAGAGGTATGGCTTGGAGGACATGGTGGCGTATTCATTTCAGGTTGTTGAAGAAGTGGATGCAGGTGAACTACAATCCTATAGAGAATTCGTTTCGGATGGCGAAGCTGATTAGTGGCTTGCCGCAATGGGAGATGAGATGGAATCCCATGACAGGAATCGGACTTGGGAGCTAGTCAAACGACCACAGGGAAGGAAGATTGTGACAAACAAGTGGATCTACAAGAAAAAGGAAGGAATCAGTTCTGAAGAGGGCATTAAATTTAAAGCTCGGGTGGTTGCACGAGGCTTCTCGAAGAGGGAATGAGTTGACTACAATGAGATTTTCTCACCAGTGGTCAGACATACTTTGATCAGGGTGCTACTAGCTATAGTGGCACATTATGACTTGGAGCTCGAGCAGCTAGACGTAAAGACAACTTTCCTACATGGAGAGTTGGAGGAAGAAATTTACATGACTCAACTAGAAGAATTCCATGTTCCAGGAAAAGAAGACTACGTTTGTAAGCTGAAGAAGTCCTTATATGGACTTAAGTAGTCTCCGAGGCATTTGTACAAGAGATTTGACAGTTACATGCTTGAGCTAGGCTACAGCAGAAGTCCATATGATTGTTGTGTGTATCACAACAAGGTGGAGGATGGTTCGATGATCTATCTTGTTCTGTATGTGGATAATATGCTTATAGCTGCGAGGTCGAAGTCTGATATCCAGAAGTTAAAGGGGCTTCTCAGTGCTGAGTTTAAGATGAAGGATTTGGGAGCTGCTCAGAAGATCTTGGGTATGGAGATTTACAGGGACATGTCGAAGAAGATTTTCTTGTCACAGAAGAGCTACATCCAGTGGATACTGTCGAGGTTTGGCATGTCTTCATCAAAGCCCTTAAATACTCCTAGTGCTTCAAATGTTCATCTACTCTCAGCTTATGTACCGCAGTCAGAGGCTGAGAAGGAGTACATGTCGAGAGTCCCATATGCTAGTGTAGTAGGTAGCTTGATGTACGCTATGGTATGCACTAGACCTAATCTTGCACATGCTGTTAGTGTTGTCATCAGGTTCATGATACAACCTGTGAAGGAGCATTGGCAGGCTGTGAAGAGGATCTTCCGGTACCTTAAGGGTACACCTGATGTGGGGATTAGCTTCGGAAGTGATACAGAGTGCTTGGTGTCTGGGTATTCTGACTCAGACTGTGCTGGAGATGTTGACACGAGGAGATCGATGACCGGTTATGTATTCACTCTTGGGAGTTTTGTAGTGAGCTAGAAGGAAACTCTGTAGTCGGCAGTGACATTGTCTACTACTGAGGCAGAGTATATGGTGTTGACAGAAGCTGCTAAGGATGGAATATGGTTGAAGGGCTTTGCTACCAAACGTTCCAATTCGATTCCCCCTCATCCAACCACTACCTCTCGCCCGCCGTCGCCCGCTACCACCGCCTCATCTCCTCCGAGCGCCACCGCCCCATATCCGACCCCACCACCACCAACTTTTCCTCATCCGCTACTCCCCTCCATTCCCTCTTCATCTCCATCTCCGTCGCTGACCTCGCCGCCCCGCTCGTTCCCGGCGTCGATGAGTCCTACACCCTCTCCATCCCTAATCACGCTGCCGCCGCAACCGCAAATCTCAGTGCCACCACTGTGTGGGGAGCCATCCAGGGGCTGGAGACCTTCTCCCAGCTAGGGGGGGGGGCGGCGTGGCGGTCGGGGTGGAGATAAGCGATGCGCCCCTCTCCATCCCCAATCATCACCAGAGAGGGGAGTTTACATACTCCAGACCAACCTTCGTCGCCGGCTTTGTGTCGGATTCTTCTTCTTTCAAGGTTCGGTTTTGGGGGTGAGAAACAGACAGAGAATGTTAATGCAAAAGCTGGGTTCGATGTTCCTTTTGTTTATTTTATTATTACTTTTTTATTAGTTTGCAGCAGAGTCCCACCAATAGTGACTCAGCGCACTGTAAGCGTTGATGTGGCGAAAATATTTCCTTTTGTTATTGTCGTTAGTCAGTTGACGATAATAGTGGTACCCGACACCTTATTATAATATAAGTGGTATAGCTCCCCCAATTCTCAAAGTTTAGTGGTACCCGAGGTATTTTACCCCAAGTTTCGACATGGTCATTTACATTACAGTGTCGTGTTGGTGCTCAAGTCAAAGCCAATGAACCTTTAGACCGTTGTAGTTATTTTTCGCGCTCATGTTATCTCAGCTTTTCAGCAAACAAGAATTAAACTGAATCGCATGTCGAAATCACTGAACTGAAATCGTATGCTTTGTGGGTGGGAATCTAGGGGCTCTTTGGCTAATTTTCAAATGAACAATCGATATTCTGCTTTTTGAGTCGAATATTTAAATCCAACGAAGTGAGAGGAGTGAATACCCCGAGTGTTAGGGAGAAGGGTGAAGGGACAGAGCGGGAGTTCGCCTAGCTAGTGTAAGCAGCAACAGCTTTAGTGAGAGCTACTACAATAGACGGAAGATGTACGACATCTGTAAGAAAGGGAGAAGGAAGAAAAGCGAGGGACGAAGTTGCTCGACTTCCAACTTCTTGAGCAGCCGAGATATTGAACAACGTCGAATCCTGAACTTGATCTTTAATCCTACACCAGTTAATGATGCGATGGGAGAAGTAACTTCACAATGCTGGCCGAGTCGAGGCTCAGACGATCAACTAAGCAATGAGGATAGCGGATATCCATGGTAATCTTCTTTTGATGCTTAAAGACCACCCCTTAGAAAAAAGAACGAGGTCTTTCTATATCAGTGCTTTACATTGTAAGAATATGATATCTTTAGCGAATAAACATTTTAATGATGAACACGATATCTTGGGTAAAGAAGAGGAAGAGTGGGCAAACTCTTTCAATTTTGATATCAATTCAGTCCGAGCCCTAACTTGAAGCGTACTCGATCATTACTTGCATAGCGCACAACCCCACTCAATTTGTTAAGAAGCTCAACCATCCAATACCCCCAACCAGGCCCTCGTACTAGACCATACTCGACGCCACATTCACATTTTCCAATTCTCCTAATCATAAGGTCAATCCCTAACCTAGTAACCCTTGATTGAGAAGTCCATAACGAGAAGAGAGAACAAGATTGGGAGACAAATGCCCTCATTCCTCTCCATCCCTTACCCTTGCACCGAGACTCGACAGTTCGTTTCCGAGTGAATGGTTATAATATCAGGTCGTGTTGGTGCTCAGGTAAAGCCAATGAGCATTAGACCCTCCAAGTTATTTTTCGTGCTCATGCTATTTCAGCCTTTTCAATTCCTCTCTTATAAGAGTGTGAGTGTACAGTTTGGCAAACCCGAATTAAACTGAGTCTCATGTCAAAATGACCGAACCAAAATCATGTGTTTTGTGGGTCATAATCTGGAGTTGTGTGGCTAGATCTCGAATGAGCCTAGCCGATATTTTGTTGTTCGATCCGAATTTCGAAATCCAACCTCCAACTCAGCATTGAAGTGTACTTAATCATCACTCACATAGTTCATTGCCCCAATCAATCTGTTAAGAAGCTCAACGTCCCATGGCCCCCAACTAAGCCCTCTTACTAACTCTCCATTTTCATTTTCGAATTCTCCCAATCATAAGCTCAATCTCTAATCCCTATCCTACTAACCCTAGATCGAGAAGTCGAGCACAATAAGAGATAACGAGATAGGGAAACCGTTGTACTCACTCCTCCCCGTACCAACACTCGACAATTCGCACTCCTCTTTGCTCGGCCACTACTCTCTCTCACTCCTCTCGGGTGGCAACTTCTTATCTCCTAAGCCTTCCCCTTCGGCTTCTCGACCCTTGTCCCACTTGTCCATGTGTTTGACTCCATAGAAGAGCTCTCAAAGTCATCTCCTCGCCTAACGCCAACTTCTCACCTCCTCCCTCTCTCGGCCCACGTCTAAGTTTCAGCTCCTTCGCCCTCAAGAATCCAATCTCCATCGACCAACGAGTGTCGATAGTCTCCTCTCCTCCGACAACCACACACATTTCAATATTGTCGGGGATTACAGTCCGAACCGAACTATAATTTGTAGCGGGTGACCGGACCAAATTATAGTTCAGTTCAGAATCAGTTGCAATGAGGTAAGCCAAGTGTTGTGCAAGACAGCTTAACCCGTGGCAATTGGTACAACCAGACCTAGCCGAAACCTTGTTTTGTGGAGGTCTACAAAGTCTGATTCCTAATGTGATGCTAGAAACTTACAACCCTGGGCGCATCAAAGTTAAATGGGAGGTTTTCTTCTAATCATCAGCCAGACAGAAACCGCCAGCAACTAACAATCCCAAAGAGACTGGAAGCTCGAAAAGAAGTAGGAAATGAACACTCAGTGAAATAATCAGATTGCACATCAGCAAAAAAGGTACGAGCACAAAATCAATCCATCAAAACTCAAAATCAAGTGCCCAAAGGTTCTGCAACTTAAAACTAAACTGCATTGCTTGAGGAAGAAGGTAAACCAAGTTTCTATAAATGTATATCAATCAAGTAACCAACTCAGCCTTGTAAGTGTAAGTTAGGGAACCGGGAGCGAGCCAAAATCCAGCCCCATAGATAGAAGCACTGAACTTGATAAATTAGCAGCAACCAACACCAACCATGGAGAAATTTCTGTCTGTCTAGTTAGCACCACCACCAGCTTTTGAGCTCCGGAAACCTTTCTTCAAATCACTCACTCTCTTCACACAAGCCGCCTTCGACTTCCCAGGAACTGCCGCAGCTACCTTATCCCATCTCATCGCTACATCTTTGGGAAACGCTTTTAGTGCATTCAGCAACGCAATATCCTCGCCAGAACTCCATGTGACGGCCGCCATCCCTCCACCGCCGTCGTTGTCAGCTCCACCTTCGTCCATCTCAGCAGCTTCGACTCTGGCGTCCACTGGCTTCCTGTTCTTCAAGAACTTGGCGTATGAATCGCTGTCATCCGATTTCTTCTCACCCATTTCCTTCGCCGCCTTAATCACGCTCTCCACTCTGTGCCTCCCGTTGAACGCCTCGGCGATGACCTCCCATCTCCTCGGCTTGCCCACTGGATTCTTCGCCATTTGCTTCTTCAGGATCAAGAAATCCTCCTCGCTCCAGTCTTTCTCTTCTTCATTCGGCGCCGATTCCAACCTGTCTTTCTGACTCGACGACCCATTTGGTTGACCTAAGCCCATCGCCGGGATTTGATTCACGATCGTGTCTTCAGATCTAACTGGCTTCGCCCTCCTTTTCGGCGCCCGCTTCTCCGTCACGACTTCGGGTTCTGGATTGAGTGGCTCCAGAATCGGACCCTGACCGACACGAATGTCGCCGCCTGTAATGTGGGATGGAGCGAGCGGGCCGATCAAGAGGGAGGTGGATACCCAGAAGAGGAGTGACTTGAAGGGTTCGTTTTGGACAAAGAAGATTGAGAGAGCCAACAAAAGGGAAGAGATGGAGATGGTTACGGCGAGGAATGGCTTGTTGAGGGATTTCTTTTGTGGGGTCTCTGGATCAGCTGGTGAAGATGCAGCAACGGTACGAGATTGGAAAACGAACCTCGGCCTAGCATCTTCATCAAGGAACTCCATGGATGCACTGTTGGAGCTGGAAAACTCCAACGACGAGTTCCTTCTCAAAAGGCACGCCTTCGATCTAGTTGATGCCTCGACTCTCGATTGAATTGGTTGTAAAACTAAGTGGAGAAGTGAAATTGAGAGGAACCGGGAGGATGAACCCTAATCCCCAATTTCGATCTCTACGAAATAAATATGGGTTTCTCTTCAGCGCCAGGCCATAGAAAGACAAGCCGTTTTTTTTCTTGCGTTGTACCCAACGTGTCAAACCGGTTTAAACCGTTGAGTTGATCAAGCAAATAATTTGATGTTAAATAGCTAGATTGAGATACAATCAATTTAAGCTCACTTTATCAATATTATAAAATTATGAGTGTATATATGATAATAATTCAATATTTTAATAACCTGATGTAATTTGACAGGTATCATACAATAATTAAACGATTAATATATTATATCACCCTAAAAGTTGCGTATATATGCTTCATTTTCAAGTATATGATTTGGGATAGGAGAAAAAATGCAACATTCTATCTAAGAACCAAAAATCGGCAATTCGATCAGACCATCAATTTTTGCGATTTTGACCGACTTTGGCCGACTACCGATTTAGTGGCAAAATGGCTTTTTGGGAGCACTAGCTTCGCTCGGACCTGGTGTGACTGGCCGACTTGACAACCTTGGTTGTACTCGATCCGTTCCTCTTAAAATATGATTCAAATCATATAAAAAATTGGATTCGAATAACCTAGGGATCTTATCTTTTTTATTGTCATTAAATCGATCACTCGCGTCATCAAGTAAGATAGATCGAAAAAGAATACATTAACTAAAGCTAGAGAGTAAAATAAAACCACAGGGATCGGTTAGCTTGCTAACCCCATAAGGGGTTGGAAAAATGACACCCCCTAACATTTAATACATCTTTATCAAATTTAAAACTCATTAATTACACATTGGAAACCCATATTAATTACTTACTTTTTTAAAATTTAAACCTATATTAAATACAATTCTCTCTCTGATTCTTCCTTTCCCAGCAGCCCTCGACCACCACAATTATCTGATGGGCAAGCAGTTACCTAAGGGGATGGCCACTCACGCTAAGTGCAAATTCTTCTCCGACCTGAGTTACTATTTATGGGAGGATCCATACCTCTTCATGATCGGAGGAGATGGCGTGATATGACGTTGCGTGATGGAGCACGAGATGGGAGATATCCAGTCTCACTGTCACGAGGGACCTACTGACAGTCATCATGGAGGAACCGCAAGGCGCGGAAGGTGTTGCAGTCGGGCTTCTATTGGCTCACGCTCTTCAAGGATGCAGAGGCCTTTGCACGCCAGTGTGATCACTGTCAGAGGTCAGGTAACATCTCTGCCCGTGATGAGATGCCCCATAAGTCTTTTGTAACTTGTGAGATTTTTAATGTCTTGGGCATCGATTTCATGCGTCCCTTTCCTCCTTCATTCAGTAATCTATATATCTTGGTTGGTGTAGACTACGTCTCGAGGTGGGCAGAAGCGCAGGTCATGCCCACCAATGATGCAAGAGACACCTCGAGCCATCATTATCACGTAGAGGTGTACTCATTTCTGAAGCAGCTCTTTTCCCGGCTCGAGACACCTCTAGCCATCATTAGCGGTAGAGGAACCCATTTTCAAGGGAAATTCACTAAGCTCCTCTCTCACTATGATGTTAAGCATAAGGTGTCCATGGCTTACCATCCACAGACGAATGGTCAAGCCGAGCTGACGAGCGGGGAATTGAAGAGGACCATTGAAAAGATGGTGGATCAATCTCGTAAAGATTGGTCTACCAAGCTCGATGATGCTCTGTGGGCGTATAGGACATCCTACAAGATGTTGATTGGTACTTCTCTATAGTCTATGGAAAGGCTTGTCATTTACCCGTCGAGCTAGACTACAAGGCCTTCTGGACCCTTAAACTACTAAAATTTGATTTGAGTCTTGCAGGTAACGCAAGAAAAATGTAGCTGGTGGAGTTGGAAGAGTGGCGTTATCACGCCTATGAGAACACCTGGTTGTATAAGGAGAGGACTAAGCGTCTCCACAAAGCTCGTCTAAAAGGGCCCAAAGAGTTTCATATGTGTAATCGAGTTCTCCTACACAACTCTTGCCTAAAACTCTTTCCGGGCAAGCTACGCTCTCGATGGTTAGGACCATTCACGATCACCCAGGTGTTTTCATACGATACCATCGAGATCGTCAATCCACAGACCGAGCCCTTCAAGGTGAATGGGCATCGCCTCAAGCTATACTTGGGAGGCGATGTTGAATGAGTTGGTGATTTTTCTTGCGGACCCTCAGTTTCTTCTTATGCATCTAGTTAAAAGACGATAAAGACGCGCTTGTGCGGAGGCAACCCCACCACGGTTTGCATTTTCTTTTTGTTTTTTTGGTCTGTTTGAGTCAGTATGCGTGTGTGATGAAGTTCGATCATCTGGTGTGCCTCATTCATGGATAATTTGGCTTTGGGGTGTTCGGAAATTTCAAAAATTGAGTTTTAGTCCGTCTGGGGAAAAATACCCGGTCTGCTCTCCAAATACCCAATCACGTATTTTGGATTCACGACCGGGCCCCATCATGGACCAAATACCCGATCCGGGCTGAAATACCTAATCAGGTATTTTTAAAGCCTATACGAGTATTTTCCATTTAAAACGTGATACTCGGTTGCCCACTCTCTCTCCTCCGCCCACTCTCTCTCCTCCTCATTTTTTCCAGAACTCTCTCTCTCTCTCGGTCTCTCCTTTATGTCGCCGGAAAATCGCCTCCACCATAGGTTTTTGTAGACCCTGGTCTGCTCCGACCTCCAAATAAAGAACCATTCACGGGTGTGTTCCTCTCACTGGGGCGACCTTACCCCAGAATTTTTATCCATTTTGGGTGACTTTTGTCATCGCCAACCGCCATCGCCGCCGCCACACCACCGCTCACCGGCGAGCCTCCGGCAATACTCTAGTGAGACCCCTGAACCATTTTTCAGCACAATTCCGAATCCATCGCCCTCCTCTCACCTTCCTATACGATCCTTCTTGTGTTTCCACGTTTGTGACGTGATTTGCTATTTATGGAAAATCAGACTGTAGATGTTAGGGTTGAGAACCGTGAATTGTTTGGCATGCTTGAACTAGTTTAGGGCGAGGGATGTGTTTTTTTGTGGTCTGCTAGCAATAATTGGAGTATGATTGCCTGGTTTTATCGATCCGTGCCATGATTTGTGTGAGAAATTAGTCTGTTTTGTCGATATTCCTATCTCTATGATTGGAAAGTAGATAGTTTGAACTGTAGTGCTTGCCTAGGTGATCATTAGGTGTGGGGGAACTGGCTATCCCCTCCCTGTGATTCTAACGGTGTTTTTTTTCTTGGTTACACCTTTGGCTTAATTATTTTGCAGGATCATGTCTCTCACTCGCAAGTACGTGCGCGACCTATGCTACACGACAAATTATGATGCGAAGTTCCGGGCGGTCACCTCTAAAGTATTCTATGCCTACGGTCACCTCGATTTTGAGGTTTTCCGGGCGTTCCACTGCCTCAAGAAGATGTCCTACGCGATCTGCCATCCTAAGTGGCGCACTCTCCTGGCCCTTCACGACTCCGCCTACACGGAGTTGGTCTGGGACACCACGTTCAAGTACTTGCCTAAGGCGGCTTGCGACCACCCTACCACGCTCACTTTTCGGCTCGGAGGCGCATGAGGGAGATGAGTCTAGATGGGATTGCCCGTGCCTTGGGGATCTTCTACACTCCTTACTCCAGCCACCAGGAGGAGGTCGCCCATCCCACAAACTTCCAGGCCGACAGCTTCTAAGGTCGGATCTGTCGTCCCAAGCACCGCCAAGCGACGTTCATTGCCAGCCAAACGAATGTCACCACCCTCTGACCCGAGTGGCATATCATCAACCTCCTGCTCATCGCTCACTCATCCCTAATGCCATAGGATCGCACAAGCTCACCAAGCGCGTGCTCTACAACATGTACTCAATGATGGATCCAGACCACTCATTGAACCTGGGGTCTCTTCTGGCATGGACCTTCCACAAGTGCCACGAGAAGCCTACCTACCTCTTCTGTGGTCCTCTGCCACTCGTCTGACATGCCATTTCGAGGTGGATCTTCAGGCTTGACCGACTGCACTACCCAGTTTGGTTTTCATCCCGTCAGCAGGGACGTCCTTCATAATGCCTTTCTGTTGACCGCTGTTGACGGTCGAGAGTGGGTCGACGGTCTCCCCCTTCCACCTGCTGCGGATGAGAAACGACGAGGATGATGAAGACTATGATGAGGAGGACAGGATGAAGACGAGGACGATGATGGTGGGGCTATGGCTGCTGATGACTTGATATATACACATGTTTTTGTCCACCATTCTTATGCAGTTTGAGCCTCATTTCTCGTATCTTAGGCCGATTTCACGCTAGGTTGTTCTTGTTGGTGATATTTCAGGTCTTAGTACGTGAATGGAGGTTTGGGAACGAGTTCGGGGTCGATTAGACAAAGATTGGACGTTTGGCGAGAAGTTGAGGAAACCACACGGCCAGACCTAACAGCCACACGGCCGTGTGGAATTCCTTTGTGCTGGCAAACCACACTAGCCGTGTACCGGGTCCCTTGAGGCCGTGTGGAAATCACAGAGATGTTGCACTGGCAGGCCGCGATTTCTCACGGCCGTGTAGTTCTGGCCGTGTGACGTGCATGAAACCACTTAAGTGAAACGCGGCGTTTTACACCTCTACACGGGAAGCTGTAATTTTTACACGGCCGTGTGGTCGGGAAATTCTGGGTTTTAACCCAATTTCGGGTCTTTTGGAGTGAGATCGAGTTTTTGAGCAAAAAACAGAGCTTTAGAGAGAGAAAGTGCGAAGAACAAACCCCAGGAGCTATTTGGATGGGATTTCTCACCATTGAAGCCTAGATTGCATCCCCAGGAGTGAAGATCGACATCCCAGAGTAGATTATCCCCATCTTTATGAGTATGACTGCTC